TATGTGTAATCCTGGATGACTCATAAATAGTTTATGGCAACAAGTGGATCTAACGGTAAACATTTCATTGTTTCCTCTCTAACATCTTTCTCTTCTTACTGCTTAGAATTTTGACAGAAACAGCAAAATCAACCCTTAGATCAAAGGAAATTTGCCCTAAATGCTTAACCAAGAAAAATAGATTTGATATAGGGATAACACACTTTAGGTTCTTGAGTAAATTTAAAGACAGTAAAATTCAAGTTTGTCAGTGCCCACAACAGCCTATATAACACACTGTGATGTATTTGAAATAAGGGCACAGGGAATGTGGAGAGAAGTTGAGAACACATACTTAATTAAAACCAAAGGTATTTTCACCAAAAGGAGTTAGTGTTCCCTAAGTAAAAGGCCGATTTTAAGCTTGAGGCAGGAAATATACAAGAGCCTGGAATATTTTATCATCCAGAAAGCAAGGACTCAAAGGTTACCAGGGTCCAGTGAAAACGACTCTGGAGCCGATTTGAGAGGTTCTCACTGACTAAGGATCGGAGAATTTGAGCATAACATCACTGCAATGGATTGAAACAGACCAAGTATGTTTAAACCTATGAGCTCATACGTCAGCTTGAGGACTGAAGGGTCCCAGGTTCGATTCCGGTCAAGGGCATGTACCTTGGTTGCGGGCACATCCCCAGTGGGGGGTGTGCAAGAGGCAGCTGATCGATGACTCTCTCTCATCGATGTTTCTAACTCTCTATCTCTCTCCCTTCCTCTCTGTACAAAATCAATATATATATATATATATATATATATATATATATATATATATATATAAAATAAACCTATGAGCTCATAATGATATTATACTTAAAAACACACACTTCATTGTTTACCTTTGGAGGGTACGTGGAAACCAATTTATTATTTCGAAAATTGGTAAATAAAGAGAAAGAATCAAGTATGTACTCTACTTTTCCTATGTGCAATGTACCTTAGGATAACCCAATTGTTGATGAGGTAAAGTTTCTCTTTAGAGCTACTAGACTATTACAATTTAAACTATAATGAAATAATGGATCTAGGCAATGATCACCAATGGTGGTTGGCATCTCTAATAAACACTATTTATAAACGTTAATAATCACCAATGAAGTATTTTGCCCTCTGTCTCAATCTGAAGCTGATCAAGCAATAACCAGTTTACAGGAAATAAAGGGATAATGGGAGTTGTTAACCACCACCACCATTGTATGCAAATCAGAAAAATCCAGACTAGGAAACTCTATTGGACAAATGATTTGGGTTTATTCAATAAAAACTGCAAATGGGAGGGTGGGGATGGTGATGAGGAGGAAAGGGGAGGTATAAAGAGACCTAAGAGGCATATGAACTAATTGTGATGTATGGAACTTATTTGGGTTTCATTCAAACTAACTGTACACAAAATTTTGAGACAAATTTGAACTCTATTATAGGGGGAAATATACACAAACAATGTATAGCTAACAATTAAGATCTAAACCAGTCTTTATGAAGTGCTCCTATTAAATAAACCCTAAACTGCTCTATGTGAGGGAAAGTTATCAGACATATTCCCTCTGTAGGCCTCAGTTTCTGCATTTGTCAAATGAAGGAACTAGACTACATGATTCCAAGGGTCCTTTCCCCCTTGGTCATCCTGTACCTCTACTAATGACCCAAACAGCTGACAATGCTATGAGCAAATAACTCACCTAGTTACTCCACCAAGAATAACTGCTCCAGCCACTGTTCCACTGCAGACCAGGAGCCATCGGCCCACCACCCGCTCAGCAGCCTTTGAAGGAAGGGACACTGTACCCCTTCCAGATTGTAAAGCTACTTCAGAGATGGTGCTGTATTGCCCTGGCCTCAAGGGGATCCCGATCCCACAGCGGCAGCCACACTAAGGATCAAGACAGACAAATGACAACTGGAGAAAGGGAAAGACCTCACTTCACTGCTACCCACCCTCAGTCCCACTGTGCTGTGCAACATCTCCACTGCTGCCGGCCCGGTAAACCATCTCTTCACTGGATTACTGTCTCCACCTTCCTACTAGTTTTCCTGCCTGTAGTCTTGACCTCATTCGAATCCATTGCCACCCTACATGAACCTTCTGATCTCTGCATTCTTCCCCCAGACTTAACTCTACACCTAGACATGGGTTATTTTATTTCTTCTATGTATCTTTAAATAAGATTTCTGGGACACCACTTGTTCCCTGATAGAAAATATAGGCAGCCGGTGTGGCTCAGTCGTTGAGCATCAACCTATAAACAGGGATTCTCGGTCAGAGAACATGCCCAGAATGTGGGCTTGATCCCCAGCAGGGAGCGTGCAAGAGGCGGCAGATCAATGATTCTCATATTGATGTTTCTACCTCCCTTCCTCTCTGCAATCAATTAATACAGGCATACCTCATTTTATTGTGCTTCAATTTTTGCACTTTACAGATATTGCATTTATTTTACAAATTAAAGGTTTGTGGCAACCCTGCATTGAACAAATTGAAGGCTTCCAGGAAAGGAGTCACCATTCTAGATGTCATTTAGAACATTTGTGATTCACAAGAGGTGAAAATATCAATATTTAACAGGAGTTTGGAAGCTGACTCCGACCCTCATGGATGACATTGAGGGGCTCAGGTCTTCAGGGGAAGAAATAACTACAGATGTAGAAATAATAGCAAGAGAACGAGGATTATAACGAGCCTGCTGTAACCTCATGATAAAACTTGAACAAATGAGAAACAGCTTCTTTTGGAGAAGGAGAAAAAGTGGTTTCTTGTGATGGAATCTACTCTTGGTGAAGATACTGTGAAGGTTGCTGAAATGGCAACAACGGATTTAGGATATTACATTAACCTAGTGCTAAAGCAGTGGCAGGGTTTGAGTGGATTGACTCAAATTTTGAAAGAAGTTCCACTGTGGATAAAATGCTATCACCCAGCATCTCATGCTAGAGAGAAATCATTCTCATGAAAGGAAGTCAATCAATGTAGTAAACTTCATTGTTATCTTATGTTAAGTAATTGCTATAGCCACCCCAACCTTCACCCTGATCGATCAGCAGCCATCAATAAATATCAAGGCAAGACCCTCCACAAACAAAAAGATGAGAATTCACTGAGGGCTCAGATGATGGTCAACAGTTTTTAGCAGTACGGTATTTTTAAATGTGTGTTAAATTTTAGACATAATGTTAGTGCACACTTTATAATGAAAATATAACTTCTACATGCACTGGAAAACCCAAAAATTCATGTAACTCGCTTATGTGACATTGGCTTTATTGTAAGGGTCTGGAACCGAACCTGCGTTATCTCCGAGGTATGCCTGCAATACCTACTGCAGACCTCAGTTTAGAAGTCACCTCCTCTGGTTGATGTTTTCACCTCTTTCCTCTGGGAAGTGTTCCCAGACTACCCTAGGTCTGCAATAGGTCCCTCTCAGCGCACTTCATCTCAGCACACTTTAGGTTCCTCCTTGTCTCCCACTAAACTATGAGCTGCGGGACAACAGTGTCTGGTCCTTTCTCTCCTGCTTCCTTTGCTTCAAACACAGTCCCCTTACCTAAAAAAACCTTAATAGATTTAATAAATGAATTATAAATAACTGTGCCCTCCTCCAGGGCAGTGACCTTTTGATAATTATATTCGCTTCCCAGTTCCTAACATACCAGTCACTCAATACAGTAATTGTTAGTTGAGTGGATACATGTCCTCTTCTGACCATCCCTGAGGGCCAAAAGGCCCTATTTGGCTTCCTGCTTCTAATTAAGTAAGTTTAGACAACTTACATTAGGCCTCAATGTCCTTCTTTGCAGAAGGGAGTTAGTTATAGGTTCCTTAACCTGGTTACCGGGTACTTTTAGCAAAAAAATCAAATATCTGGATATAACATTTACTGAGCTTTTACTTTGTGCTAAGTGCTTAAGAATATTAAATTTAATCCTCCCAGACTGAACATAAACTGTGCACCTATGGATGAGGACAATGGGGAGTAGGGAAAGGGCAGAGAGTGGGGTGGGAACCTGGTGGAGGAGAGCAATGGGGGGGGGGGGGAAGGGACATTTGTAATAATATGAACAATAAAAACTTATTAAAAAAATTTAATCCTCCCCGAAATCTTATGAATTAAGCATTGTTGTTATCCCCATTTTTACAGACGAGGGCACTGAGGCACAGAAAGGTTACCTCACTTGGCCAATAACACACAGCTAGTAAGTGGGGGGTCCAGGTCCGAACTCAGGGGCTCTGGAAACAAGGACCCGCGTCTGGAACTCTAAGGCTCCACGGAAACGTGCTGTGGGGCCATCTACGGTCTTTCTCCCCGTGTCCGCTTCTGCGGCGGCGCGGTACCTGCGATCGAGGCGCCGCCCTGGGAGCCAGCAGTCGGAGACACGGGCTCCCCATCAAAGCCTTCAAGGGCGGAAAGAGTAATCGCTGCATACTGAGGACGGTGCCCAGCCGCCACCTCCACAGCCCGGCACCCGGAGGACTCGCCCCTCTGCTGCGGAAAGAAGCACTTCCGGGTCACACTGAGCGAGCTCCTCCTCCCGAGACGGCGGGGGCGAGCAGCGACTGCGCCTGCGCCGGCGTCTCTGCCGTCGCGGGGGCTGCTGGGGTGTGGACGCTGGGGCGCGCGGGGGCGTGCGCAGCGGCGGGGACGCGCACCCAAACCCGGGTCTGAGCGGAAACCGTAGTTTCGCGAGGGAGGAACGCGTGGAGGATGAAGAGGCAGGGGTCCTCCTCGGAGCGGACGCGGATGCCGTCCGGGAAGGCCGGTGCGGAGCGGGGCGGGGAGGGGGCGGCCCACCTCGCTGCCCCGAGCGGGTGGGGCTGCCGGGGGTTTCTGGTCGACCGGTGGGTTGACGGCGACCTCCCCCGCGGCCCGCTGCGCTACAGGTTCTGTCATTCCGGCTTTAAACACGTGGGAAGGGGCGCCTGGGAAGGGGCGTGTAGTGAGAGCGGCCCGGCTCTGGAGCCAGACGTGTGGGTTCGAATCCCGTTGCCCCCGCGTATCGTCGTGCGATTGTATTGGAGCTGGTTAGCTTCTCTGAGCCGCACGTTTCCCGTCGTCCCCGGAGCGTCGCTGTGATGCTCAGATGGCGAGCACCTGTGGTGACCGCCCCATCACCTGGAGCTGCTACAGCGGCCCTGGCGCGCCAGGGTAGGATGGCATCCAGGTGTTAGGATTTGGCAGATCCCTCCGTGAACTCTGGGTTCCTCCCGACCAGCGGCCCTCAAAGCTTTTGATCTCAGGATCCCCTTTCCCTCCTAAAAATTATTGAGGACCTCAAAGACTTTTTTTTTTTAAATATAGGTTAAATCTATTGATACTGACTATTTAAAATTAAAACAAAGTTTTAAAATAGTTATTAACTAGAAAATAACCATAATAAACCCATTACATGTTAACGAATATAAATTTTTTTTTTTTCTGAACAAACAAAATGGAGTAGTGCCCATGTTTTGTATTTTTGCAGACCTCTTTCCCATCGGGCTTAATGGAATTCTCATGCCTGTGTTATACTTGCTTCTGCATTCAGTCTGACATGTCAGGTAGCCTGCCCAAAATTCCATTTGTGAAATAATCAAAGTGTAAAAGGCAAATAAAATTTTAATGTCATGAAATTTTTCACTGCACAGACCCTGATAGGATCATCTAAGATTCTAATATCCCTAAGGCTCTCAGAGCTAACTGACCTACGACACTTTGAGAACTGCTCCAAACAAATAACCTTTTTCTTTGATCCCCATAACTGATTTGCCTTCCTCCGCCTTCTGTCATAGCCTTTGTGTGCATCTCCACCCTCTTCTAGTCAAGGCCCTTTCTTGCATGAGGCACATAGTACCGCTGCAGCATTGTCCAGATTGAGTGACCTGACAGCTGGTATGGGTGGCTATCAGAAAACTCAGAATTAATGCAGCACTGCCGGTTAAGAGCAAAGGGTGGTGCGTAACTCTTTCACTGTTTGAGACAGATAGTCTTTTAAATAAATGAAACAGTTGCAACTTGATCTTAGCAGATGATATATTTATGTTCTTTTTAAAAAATGTTTGTTTTTGTTTATTGATTTCAGAGAGGGAGAGAGAGAGAGAGAAGCATCAATGATGAAAGAGAATCATGATGGGCTGCCTCCCGCATGTCCCCCACTGGGGACTGTAACCCAGGCGTGTGCCCTGACCAGGAATTGAACCATGACCTCCTGGTTCGTAGGTCGATGATCAAATACTGAGCCACTCCAGCGAGGCTAGATTTTTGTTTTTTAAATTAAAAATTGCTTTTAAAAAAATGATAAAAGCAATATTGGGTAGAAGAAAAATCAATCAATGTAGGAAAGTAAAAAGATAGTAAAGGCATTCCAAATCCCAGCACCTAGTTGTCATCATTATCAGTATGTGGTAACCTTCTTTTAGATATTGCATGAAGTATGCATTCAGAATTCTTAATTTTTAAAAATTATGTGTTTAGCTTACAGAAAAAATTCAAAACTATTTTCATCATACTTTTTAGTGCAGATATGTGACTTTCTATGAATTTTTAATTATTCTGCCTTTAGTAAATTTTTGCTTGTCGATTGTGGACCATGGTAGACACTGTGCTTTCTGTAGGTGATGATAAAGATTTCTCACATAAAGACCTTGGCCAGGTGGCTTAGCTCATCCTCACAATCAATATGCCAACGTTGCCAAACCGTTTTCGCTCAGTGGATAGAGCGTCAGCCTGCAGACTGAAAGGTCCCAGGTTCGATTCTGGTCAAGGGCATGTACCTTGGTTGCGGGCACATCCCCAGTAGGGGGTGTGCAGGAGGCAGCTGATCAATGATTCTCTCTCATTGATGTTTCTAGCTCCCTATCTCTCTTCTTCTCTGTAAAAAAACAATAAAATATATATTTTTAAAAATATGCCAAGGCTGCCGAAACCGGTTTGGCTCAGTGGTAGAGCGTCGGTCTGCGGACTGAAAGGTCCCGGGTTCGATTCCGGTCAAGGGCTTGTACATTGGTTGCGGGCATATCCCCCGTGGGGGCTGTGCAGGAGGCAGCTGGTCGATATTTCTCTCTCATCGATGTTTCTGGCTCTCTATCTCTCTCCCTTCCTCTCTTTAAAAAATTAATAAAATATATAAAAAAAAATATGCCAAGGCTGTAGGTTCGATCCCTGGTCAGGGCTCATACAAGAATCAACCAATGAATGCTTGAATAAAAGAACAGATTGATGTTTCTCTTTCTATTCTTTCCTCTCCCCCCTCCTCCCTGTCTAAAATCAGTAAGTTAAAAAATAAACTTTGTGGGGAAAAAGACCTTCTTTACAAACTTTAGATCAAGTAAGAATGATCAAACATTTATCTACATAAATAATGACATTTAGAAAATCATATTTTGAAGAGATACAGTTAGTGTTTTAAAGAAGAATATATAACTTACAAAGTTATATGAGTTCAAAAAAGGGAGATACAATTTCCTACTTTGGGAGAGAGGAAGTGTCATGGAAATATGGTTTGACATGAATCTTGGAAGAGTTTAGCAGTCAGAGATGGAGCTGGAAGGAGGAGATGGCATAAGCAAAAGCAGGAATGAGGATTAGGGACAACTGGAGGCATGTAGAGAAAATACCTTGTAGTTAATGAAACTACCGTATTTTTCGGACCATAAGACGCACTCTTTTCCCTGCGTCTTATGGTCCAAATATAGCCTACACATATACTTTAAAAAAAAAAGTTTTTTTACTTGCCCGGCTCTGTGTGGTCTCTGTGTGCTTGCCCAGCTCTAAAATGGTTCTAAATGCTGCTGTTTACTTTACAGGGTTGATTACATGTGTTTATGACTGTGATGTTGGGTTTTAATGCACATAAAATATTTTAGGACACTATTTGTTTCAGAATCTTTTTTTCTTCATTTCCCTTCTCTAAAAACTGGTGCGTCTTATGGTCCGGAGCGTCTTATGGTCTGAAAAATACAGTAGTATTTTTGCACATTTAGTTGATATATCACTTTACATGATTTATCTTCACTACTCTGGGGTCGGTACTACAACCTACTAAGTTGTATAGATAACTGAGGCCAAGTAATTTGGCCTAAAATCACAAGTATGGAGGGGGGCAGGGTTTGAAGTCCATCCTAGCACTTAAACATATTCCTTGTAAAGAAGTTTAAACGTATTCTGCAGGTACTCATTGAGAAGCATTGAAAGAATCTTGACCGGGAATGTGATGATGAGGTCTGTGTTTTAGGAAGTTTAATTTTGCATTCAGTAAATATTGTTTCCAGTATAAATTTTTTGTATGTTAGTGTTCATATTTCATAATCCAAAGACATCAGTTTTATAATTAACATATCTTATTGCATTCATGGGCCCTTATATACTTATACACTTTCCTATATTGGATATTTGAATTTTGGCAGCAAAATATAAAATGATAGTGGTGGATTGGTCTGGATAAATAGTCCCATCATGGTATTGCACCCATCATGGTATTGCATTTGTTTTTCATGCATTTTAGGGACAGCAAATGGATTTCTCATGGAAGTGTGTGTTGATTCAGTGGAGTCGGCTGTAAATGCAGAAAGAGGAGGTAAGAAAAATTGGAGAATTAATGATAGTTTCCAGTCTTTTTAAAAAAATGTTTTTTAATTGATTTTTAGAGAGAGAGGAAGGGAGAGGAATAAAGACATAGAAATATCAATGTGGGAAAAACATTCATTGGTTTCCTCTTGCATGTGCCCAACTGGGGATTGAACCTGCAACCTGGTCATGTGCCCTGACCGGGAATTGAACCAGTGACCTCTTGAATCATGTGTCGACACTCAACCACTGAACCACACTGGCTGGGCTACAGTGCTTTTAAGAGACTGAAAATGAATCCTGTGAACTGACCTTGGGAGCCTTTGTGATTAGGAAGGATTCTATTAATTCTTTTGAAAACAACTAAAAAACCTACTGGAAAGTTAGGATTTTTTTTAGTCTTACTCCCTAGTTTACATTTTGAGTTAGTGTCCACAATATTGCTTATTCATCAACTTCATTTTTTTTTAACTTACCAAAGATTTAATTTTTCCAAATTAATTTAAGATTTCTACCTTATCTACCCCCTTCCCCCCCTCCCCCCCTCCACATTATTTTTACCTTAAGGTTTCTTTTGCACTGTGAACGGTTTTAATAGGAAGCATTTCAGGATCAGGAAATTTGTTTAGTTTTTATTATGGAAAATGTCAAGCATATATAAAAATAGAGAAAATAATATAATGAATCCCCATGTACCCATTACTTAGCTTCATCCATTTTTAGTACATGACCAATCTTTCATCTTTTTTGAGTGTTGAAGGGGGATGGTGACTACAATTTTTTTGTATATATTTTCAACCTTGCTTGCTACATTTGGTCTTTGTTGTATCTTCTTTGTGATTTTTAAAAAAAATATTTATTTATTTGTGTGTGTTTTTTAGAGAGAGCTCAATTTGTTGTTCCACTTATTTATGCATTCATGAGTAGATTTTTGTATGTACCCTGAGTAGGGATCCAACCTGCAACCTTGGCATACCCAGACGATTTTCTGACCAACTAACTTAACAGACCAGGGCTTCCTCATCTTTGTTTTTAAAAATAATCCTTTGAGTTCAACCTCACAGGTCAATGCTCAACACTGAGCCCCCAGGTTGAACATCATGTCATTTCATCCTCAAATAATTTAGTATGTATCTCTAAAAGGACAATTTAAAAAAATAACCTTAATATTACCAACATGTCTTAAAACTTTGTTTTTAATATCATCAAAAATACCCAGTTAGTTCCTGAGACCTTTAGACATAAGACACCCTAGACTGATAGTTCTTTAACTTTCATATTTTCTTATTCTTGAAATTACCTTGAATTAAACTGTTTAAAGTTTAGAATAATAAAGACTCTCTTGGAAAACATTGTTATTTTCTTATTAGTGAAGAGTCCAGAGTTCCACTATAGTCAATCTAGAAACTTCTTCTTTTAAAAAAAAATTTTTTTTATTGATTTCAGAGAGGAAGGCAGAGGGAGAGATAGATAGAAACATCAATAATGAGAGTAATTGATTGGCTGCCTCCTGTAGACCCCCTACTGGGGATTTAGCCCATAACCTGGGCATGTGCCCTTGACCAGAATTGAGCCCAGGACCCTTCAATCCCCAGGCTGATGCTATGTCCACTGAGCCAAACCAGCTAAGGCTCGAAACTTCTTTATTCTAAGTCCCTTCCTTGTACATGGAGAGACAACACTGTAATACAAAATTTTAAGAGACCTAATTTAACTTGAGTTAACACTTAAATTTGACTACCAATAACATAATGTGAGTTGGAGAGTATAGGTGGAATTAAAAATAGACTTTTACATTTTATAATTTGATTTCTCTATTTCTCTTTTTGTTCTGTATTTGGAAAAAATATTAAGTTTGCTATTTAATAGGAGTCTGTTTTGGGCAGTAATTTTTTAGCAATGCTTTTTAAAAAGATTATTGTTTAAAGTATTACATATGGCCGGGACCAGTTTGGCTCAATGGATAGAGCGTTGGCTTGGGGACTGAAGGGTCCCGGGTTCAATTCCGGTCAAGGGCATGTACCTTGGTTGTGGGCATATCCCCAGTATGGGGTGTGCAAGAGGCAGCTGATCAATGACTCTCTCTCATCGATGTTTCTAACTCTCTATCTCTCTCCCTTCCTCTCTGTACAAAATCAATAAATATATTTTAAAAATAAATAAATAAATAAATAAATAAAATGTACTTACTAATTTCCTTTAAAAAATAAAAATAAATAAAAAATAAAGTATTACATATGTCTCCTTTTCCCCCCATTGACCTCTCCTGTTCCACACGCCCTGCCCCCCAATGTCCTTACCCCTCTATTATCTGTTTCCATTGGTTATGCTTATATTGTGCATGGAAGTCCTTTGGTGCCTTTAAAAATATGTTTCAAATTTTCAAAATTTTTTTGTGCTAAGTAATGCTTTTTAAAAAAAATCACAGGTGCTGGTCGGATTGAATTATGTTCTGGCTTAGTGGAAGGAGGAATCACACCAAGCATGGGTAAGTCCATTTTTTGGATTCCTGGAGACAATTGATAATTTGTTTCATTGGAATCCTTTACAATGTTATTAACACGTTAACTATGCTATGGATATTGTATCAGTTAGGTATGCTTATGGTTGTAAATAAACTTGTCTATCAAAGATGTGATCAAGTAGATTTTTTAGACATTAAAAAGTTGAGATATAGGTAGTTGCTCTTAATATTGGTTCAGT